CAATTTTTACACCGACAAGGCGGGGCGGGGGCTTTTGGTTGAGGGGAGGCAAAACAAACAACATTTACAAATTTCAGCAGCTTGGCCGGTTACTAGGCAGGGAGACAGGCCCTGTCATACTGCCGATGCAGTACATCGCTTACCATAACTGACAGATAACGCCACTCTTTTTTTGAAATGTGTCATTTTCCAATAACCCTTTCACACATTTTTTAAACTCATCACAAATACTTGTATGTAATTTAAAACTATTTTTCCAGATGTCTTCTCTGCAGCAGCTGTGACACCTCCTCCCTGCTGTGAAGGTCCCTCTCTCATTTTGTGAAACACGCGTGTCTCCTTTCTCCAGGTGCTCGTTTTGATGATGGGGCTGGGGGTGACAATGAGGTGCAGCGTACTATGCTGGAGCTGATCAACCAGTTGGATGGTTTTGACCCACGAGGCAACATCAAGGTGCTGATGGCTACAAACAGACCCGATACTCTGGATCCAGCCCTGATGAGGCCTGGCAGGTTGGATAGGAAGATAGAGTTTAGCTTGCCTGATCTTGAGGTGAGGATGCTTTCTTTCACAGCTAAGTATATTCTGATGTCAGAGTGTTTCTTCAGTTAGGGTGTTATTGTCTGGAAGCATTTTACGAGAATGAACAAAAGCAGCACTCTTAACTTACGTGAAACTGCATGGAAATTTGGGGGATTAAAGATGTGCCAAAAAGGTTTTCCCACACTGCACAAATTCCATCCCTGGCTGAGAAGCCACAGTAAGTAGCTATATTCACTGTATATTCCCAACTCAACAGATAAAGAATCCCTTAACCAGATCCACAATTTAGTTCTGAAGTTGGAACGTGTTTTGTTTGGCTCTTTTGAGAGAGATTTCCTGAGGTACTTCCGCCATTAAAGCTCTTTTTTAAGTTACGTTCTTAATGTAGTATCATGAACACTTAAACATGCTAGTCCAGACTTAGGAAACTATAGTTGGGGCAGCAAATGAAAGATTTGGTTTCCGTGTGCCCTCGCTCTGGGTGTGGACAGCTGCGTGCTGAGAGTCATCAGCTCTTTCACAGCATGAACGCTTCTATCCTCCACTCTTTTTTCAGGGGCGAACTCACATATTCAAGATACATGCTCGTTCGATGAGTGTTGAAAGAGATATAAGATTTGAGCTGTTGGCTCGACTGTGTCCTAACAGCACAGGTAAGCTGATTGTTCTTTTTTTTCTTTTTAAATAGTTTTGTGTATGCTTCATCTCCACTGGTGGTCAGTGTTGAATTCACTTATCCCTTTCTTTCTAAGGTGCTGAGATTCGCAGTGTTTGCACGGAGGCAGGCATGTTTGCTATCCGAGCACGTCGAAAAATTGCAACAGAGAAAGACTTCTTAGAAGCAGTGAACAAAGTCATTAAATCGTATGCGAAATTCAGTGCTACCCCCCGCTACATGACCTACAACTAATGTCGTGGCATGTTTTTCCTCTTCCTGTTGTTAAACTTTTTGTGAAACAAAAATCCAACTGTAGTAACTCATGTGTCGTTCCTGGAAGCTAGAAATAAATGGGGTATTCCAAACAGTAGGTGTGACTTCATTATGAGCGGGTTCTATACTAGTGGAGTATTGCTGCCGTAGGAAAAAAAAAAATCTCAGCCAGATTCTGGTAACACAGCCTAAACCAGTGAGGTATTTTTAAATCAGATACCTGGGCAATGTTAGAAACCCAAAGTTTAGATCCCTGGTCACTGTTTGCACCCCAAAACTTACCATCTCAGCTGCGGGAGTGCTGCAAGAGCCCTAAGTGACTGCAGTGTTCCTGGCTGTGCTCAGGAATGCTTGCGATGCTCGGCACCAGGGTGTAGGTGTGGCCCCAGAAAACTCTGGGGAACTGCACAGGAAAAGAGCTGAGGAGAAGGCGTACGGAGCTGAGGTGAGGTGCTTGGTGGCCGGAGTCATCGCCCAGCGTAGGGAAGATGTGAAGGGGTATGTTTTCTCTCCCTGGGTGAACGCTCTGGTACCATCATAACTTGGTTTTTCCTTCAGTGGTTTTCTTCATCCCTTTTGCTGAGATTCTTTATTTCTTACAAAATCAAAGTGGGTCAAAAAGGAGGAAGTAGTAAGCGTAGTTTCTTAGCACTGAGGGAAGGAAGATTCCTTTCTCCTGTTCCTGCTCTAAAAAAAAAAAATAAAGTTTGACATCAGTCTAAGGCCACCAGTGAGCACTTCGATACATCACGTTACTTGCTTGAAGATGCTACAACACACAGAGGGTGGCCCTGATGGGTCCTGATGCTCTGACACCTGGGCAGTAGCGAGCTACCAGCAGGCAGCATTAAATTAAGGCTGCTCTTCATTCATCCAGCATGTTCCTGTAGGGCTGGATGCTTTGGTCCATGAAAAGCAATGGCCTTTCCTTTTCTCTTTTTCAAGTGTTGCATTATAGTTGGGGGGAGGGCGGTGGGGGGGGAAAAGGAGCTTGAAGAAATAGGGGAAGAGTGTACGCAGTACATGGCCCTTGTTAGGATTTTGGCTAGCATCAGTATCTCAATAAACAAACTTAAGCAATCCCGTGTTTTTGCCCCCACCTGCTTGAAAAACTGATCTCAACGGTTATGTGTTACTTGGGTAAGAACATTTTGGGGAGGGATGCAAGTTTATTAATAGGACGAATTTTTTTTTTTTTAATTTCGAGCCTGAGAGGAAAGTGGTTCAGAAAGCAGCGCTGACAGAGTATCTCTCTATTTACCAAGTGCAGCACTTGAAATTAAGTGTACCTTTTACTTAGGAAGGATAAGTGAAGTATGTAAAAAGAGTTTTGAGCGTACCAGGTCTCCCAAGTTAGCATCCGTACTCTTGCAAAAAAGGAGGGGGAGAGGAATATGATTCTGATGATTAAGAGGTATCAGATGGGACTGAGGCTGTCTGGTGACATTTGCTGTGGTGGGGCTGCAGCAGCGAGAGGGTCGAGGCGCTACCCTGTCAACGCAGACAAACTGGGGAGGGGAAGGAGACAAGCCCTGCTACGAGTTTAAAGGCTGTGGGTTTGTTTAATCCAGCGCTGACAAGCCGAAGGTAGGATTTAAATTTTTAGCTAGCAGCCTGTTCATCGGTACGGGAGGAGGAAGGCCATTTACTTTTCAGTAGATAACTCAGGCTGGCGAGTAGGAAGCAGTGCTTCAGCGGGTGGCAGCAAAGCCCAGGAAGAGCCCAGTGAAAAGCCGCCAGGTTTTATTTTCCTGGATGAGCTGGTTACCAGCAGCGCTGGTGGTACCCAGGAGGGGGTTGCACAGCGCTAGCGCTGCACGGGCTGGTGCCTGGGACTTCTTGGCAAAGGCTTCGAGTCCAGCGCTGCAGCGCTGTTGCTGCCGGGGTGGCAAACACAGCATTAATTGCGTCATTGTGAGGCCTGGCATGGAGAGCGCTTCGTGCAGAGGGTGAGGAGCGGGAAGCCAAGCAGCAGGGAGGACCTGCGTGGAGGTGGTAACGCCTCCCGGCCCACCCCTTGGCGACAGCCGCTTGCGTCCGGGGACCTTGGCTTGTCCCACATACAGAGCCTCACCAAGACAAAGTGGAAAATTTTGTCAAGTCATGATCATCACTTTATTTTAGAAGTTGACAGGATTTTGACATGAACTGAAGAGACTACATAGTTAAAAACTGAAGCTGCGGCAAGCTGAAAATAGAAAAATATACTGTATGTAGATACAAAGCCTTTTTAAACTAATTAACATTATAAAATGTACCAAAAGTTGTTTAAACAAACACACACATGTGTTAATGTGCATTCAATTCATCCTTAGAACTCCAGCTAAGCAGTAATTTCTGATGCAGAAAGCATCCTTTACCTATTGGCAGGGGAGTCTGCAGAAAGAAAACATCTTCCCCGACTGCCCCTGGTTCTGGGGAAACTTGATTTGCCCGAAGCGAGCCCTGATCGCAACAGAACTCGAAGCAAAATGAAGGTATGAAGTTCCACACTCAGAAGAGAGGAAGCCGTTTGAATTGCCTTATGCACGGACCTCTGACTTCAGGGCGCTAAATGAAATGTCACTGATGCCCCACTTCCCCTGTGCTGTCGAAATAACCTAGAGACACTTCTCGGTTCCTACTTCTGCTCAGATTTGTAGTGGTTGTTGTTAGAGAAATACAGGCATTGCAGATTTTATCTTTTTGCTTGAATTACATTTCCATGGTTTTCATCTCACACCTGAAGTTAAGCAGTACCATAGCAGCCAGGCTGTGAAGACAACAGAAAAAACCCCACGCTACTGTTTCTTTTAAAAACCCCAAACACGTAACATTTTTGAGTTCTACTGAATTCCGTTTCTCAAAGCACTTAAAAGCTGAGGCAGAAGCAGCACTGCTGGTAGGAAGATATCTCAGGCAACAGAAAAGTACTTCTCTTTTTTCTTTTTGGACCACTGGGACTTTACACCTTGTCTACGTTTTTATTCCAGCTTAAAGAGACTGCATATAGGGCATCAGTTCTTAATTTAATTTTAATAGGCTTCACTCCTGCCTTAAACCAGTTTCATCTTCCGACTTTAAAGCTAAACTAATTTTAGCTTAAAATCAACTGTATTCTTTTCTAGAAAGCGTAACTAGCTTTTGGCAGTGAAAATACCATACCATATTGATGATGTAATAATTAATGAGTTTCTAATTTGAGGTTCACTTAGAGTGAAAATGTTGGGGCAACGAAGAGTTGAGTATAGTGGAGACAGGTTAAATATTAAAAAAAAAAAAAACAACTGTACCATCCAGGTTTAAAAAGAGTAGCAGCTAAATGCCACCAGTGTGAATTCATTAATCCAGCTGGCAGATTACTACAATTTATATGAATCTGTTGTATGCAGATGTTGACATCAGGCTTTAAAAGTAATCTAAGAAAGTTCTTTAAAGACACTGGTACAGTGCATTGCAATTGCAGAACAGTTATGTCCTGCAAGATCGCACCTCGTAGTGAGTTAAAGTGCCCATTTTCTCAACAGGAATAGGAATGTCACCTTGTCTACCAGATTCCGACCGTAGCAGAATACACTGAATTTTCTTGTCTTGCATAATTTTGTGCTTGTATGTCACTGGAAGGCTATACCCTGATTGAAGGAAAAAATTCAAGAGCACGAAGGCTTCCAATTCCTTATCTACTCTTCCTACAGAAAATCAGCACCGCCCTATACCCGTAGATACAAATAGCCTTAGGCTCTCTTTAAACTGTGCAAATTAAATATGCAGAAAGAGTCTCCATCAGCATAAATCTGGCTTCCATTCTGCTCGACGCCGCTCTTCAGAGGTCAGAGTTGGGCTGCGAAGCAGACCTGTCTTTCACTTGGCAAGCAAGGACAGCATCATGAATACTGTGAAACAGCAACTCTCTCGTTACAGTGTTATCAAAAAAATTCAGTCTTGTCAGCTCATTTATAACAGGGCCTACAAAATAAAAAACAAACGTGGCATCAGTGCATAAACAAGTACAAAGACGGAAGACAACGGATTCTCAGGAAGAAGACGACAACTTGTTCTCTTACTTGTTATTACGTAAAACATTTAAAATAGCCAGGTGGATCACATGCTACTTCTACTCCAAGCAGGCAATTCTCTTATCCAGACATACACAGAGTCCTATTCTTGGCCGAAGATGCTACAGTTCCAAATATGAGAAACTTGGAACATTGCAGGCTTTCCTCCATATTACATTATTACAACAATTTCAAGATACAAAGTTTGGTGTGGTATTTACAATTCACCAGCTGGAATAAATGGGAGCAGGATCTAGTCCTCACAGCACTCATTACATCAGTGCTCTTCTTTCACTAAAGTAAAGGCTCTGATGTATATGGGCTTGCTTTTCCTCAAATCCAATTTTATGTGAAATAAGTGCTGATAGTACTGAGGCACCTGGCAGCAAAAACTTAGATAAAACACAATCTCTCCCATAAAGCTCACCCCCGCCCAACTCACCGCTACAGCTGGCAATACAGACATGGACACCAACTTCTTTGTATTCTTTTATAATCTGCAACAGAGTTAAACGGAAGTTAAATGCGGGCATATCATCGTACACATCACAGTTCTGGAAGATGTAAGCCAATTACTGTGAAAGCTGCACAGTCCACATTCCCCAGTATTCAGCTAAAACTGACAGAGCTACAGAATTAAAACCGTGATTAGGTGAGATACTGGACTGTGTTTGAGCTGGCATTTATGTCTCATGCTGACAGGTTCCCTACTAGGTTTCTGTGGGGTTTTTTTGGGGAAAAAGCCCTACTTACTGATTTTAATGTTTTTGCTCCAACTGAATCCACAAAGTTCACTGGGGTGAAATCCAGAATTAAAGAGTGGATGTTTGTTTTGGGCTCCACAAAGTGTTCATGCTCATCAGGAGATGTGTCTTGTACACTAGCATTTTTTCCGTTTACAGGTAACTCATCATTTGCTATCTCGTGTTTTACACTTGCTTCCACGTCATTAGTCTGGGAGAGAAGATGAATAAAGCTTAATGACAGCTAATTTTTTTTCAGTGTAATCCCCTTCCTCCCCATACTCATCTGTTCTTTCAGCCTTTAAAAGGTGTACAGCTCCTAACCATTACAGAAACTGGCTTTACATGCACACATACTTCCATACCTTATGTATATGAAGGTTTATTCTCTTATGCCCAACCTTTCTACAGTCACATGCAAGCAGCTTAAAGCTGTTACCTTAGGAGTGAATTACCCATTTCCTTGAAACACTGACACACCCATTCATACGTTTTTACTCCATTTCCTTGCCTTATCCCTGCTGATGCTGTCAAGGCCTATATATTCAAAAGAAGCAACCGGGCTCTTAAGTTAGGTATTCGGTTGGTTCCCCATGGTAAAAAGGGCACACCAGCTCCCACCATGCGGGCGAATCTAAACATGCACAAAAGCACAAGCACGTTTCAAATAACCCTTCTCAATGTACCTGCCTCGCTTAACCACGCCAGGATCAGCAGTGCAGATGGCACCTTTTTATTACAGGGGCTGCTAATTTGAATTGATTTTATTATATCCTATTTCTGCATGATTATTCCAAGTGTGCAGGGGGGGGCAGAGGTAGGCTTCCTCCAATTTCTGCCGACACCACTGCTGAGACAGTATGACTGTGGAAAGGCTCTGCTCTGCTATGTGCTGCCCGAATGTAATCAAGGGTCAACACAATTATCCAATCCAGCAGTGAGCCTCTGATCCTTAATGGTGTTCCCTCAGTAGCCTGTCCACACTGCACAGTGCTTGCTCCCTAAGCCTTCCTACCCGAGTAGGACTCTGTACCTTGTATAAACAAGAACAGTAACACCAGAAAGCAGCATGTTAGCTGTTAAAGCAGAGGTAAATATTTACCGAAGAATTCACTAGTTTCAATACAGCTTTCTTTCTGAGCTGATTTGCCGCCTTTATTTCCCTGGCATGCCTCTTCTGGGCTTTTCTCCTTGCTGCTAATATGGCACAAGGGTCCACTCCAGTCTGTCATAAAAAGAAATCACGATCAGAGGAGATTCAGCTTGTTAGGATGACACTGCAGTATCAATTAGCACTGAATTCATCACACTCATAAATTTAAAACACAAGCCTGCATTGTTCAGTTTCCCTTGGTGGGGGTGAGAACAGTATAAGGTAAGAAGGAACAATCTTGGCAAGCACTGTTAACAAGATGAGGAAGAGATGCATCACATTCTTTTCTTGAAATCAGAGAGTGACATGTTTCAATCGAATGCTGATTCGAGTGCAGAGAGCAAAAGGGAGAGAAGTGCATTTGGACATAAATCACTACTACCTCTTGCTTTGTGAAGGTAAGTACCACCCACCTGTTTTGTATAAGACTCATCATGGGAGCTACAGAAAAATTTTTCCGAAGTTAGTAAGGGTGCAATTGCTACTGAGTCAGGCAGTTCTGCCCTTAGCTGGTTCTGTTACTGCCATTCCCACCCAGTCAAACATGGGCTGGACAGGAGGTGAGGCACACTGTATGCAGGTAATTTGTTGCTCATGAGAGGCACTAAATGCCCACAGGAATCCACGGTCTTACACTCCAGTAAAGTTTGTCACCCAAGAAGGAAGCTTTTACTCCCAGACATTTTGGTTTCAGCTCAGCACCTACATATTTCCTTCTGAAAAAAAATGTGTTTGACTAGTTTGTCTCTGCAACCACCAGACTTTCCGTTCACAAGCGGTTAGTATTAAGCTACACTTTGTCCTTTTATTCCCTCCCACCATGTTGTTGCTTCCTAAGATGATCTGCAGTTAGCTGGAGGGTCACCTTCTCATATTTTACTGATTACCAGAGGACACAGGGTGAGAAACACTGTGCTAGGGGCTATACTAAAGGGGTTGAAAGATGGGCATATTTCAGAAACCACTTTGAATTTTCAAGACACAGACATTACAGAATTTGCTTTACTCACCTTTTTCTTCAGTGCACCTGTATAAGACTCGCTATTGGCAAAATAAAGTGATGCATTAGCTTGAAATATTTTTATTCCAGGATATTCTTTAACCTAAGGAAAAGAATATTGGATGTGCACAGTTAAGTATTGCCTGCACTAGAAGAAAAGCACCTGTCTGATCACCAGACACATGAACATGCAGCCCAACAGCTAACCCGGATCAGCATGTGTCAGACAAAGAAGGTCGGCACTGTTGTGAGCAAAGCCAATCAGAAGATCAGAACTTCCACCTTTCCCGGTGTAATGCTGCACACCATTGATGCCATGTAACATTTCTCCTTCTCTATAACAATTAAATGTACCACCATATTTGCAGTTCTCTGATGTTGCTATCTGCAGCTGGTATTAACATTAGGAAATCATGCAGATCTAGGAATGTGTGCTTTGAGCCTCCCCTTCTACAGGCATAATGACTGACTTCTCTCTTTCTTTCTCTCTTTTTCTTTCTTGTCTCCTCTTTCAAATCTTTGGTTTTAAACAGGCCTTCAGAAAGGTCTTGATATCCCTTCTTTCCTCTACTTTAAATGAAGTCATCTCTAAAAAGGCTGCACTGTGACATTTTACATGCAAATGACCTGGCCAGCAGCAGAGATCCAGCTTGCCATATGCTGCCAATCCCGTCTTTATACAGGAGGAGGAAATGCTAACTGCATTTAGTATAACAAAAATGGAACCTCCTCTTCTTTTGCATACAGCTATTAACATGCCCACATATACTTTTGCTTTGTATCATATTCAAAGCAGAACTGCTGGTGAGAGAATGTTTTCAGATTACAGCATCATCTTTTCATAGAGGTTTTTACAGACTGGTTCCTTAGTAAAGGGGAGTGTAGCCTTCACAGCAGCATCTCTGAGAACATAACAGTGCAGAAAATTGTTGCTGCTGTTTGTGAATAAATACAGCATATTTATATCCATGATATTGACAAAATGTACTGCTTTCACTGACTTTTGGTTGAACAAAATAGCATTTATAAGAAGCTAAGTGTATGGCGAGCAACTGTGCCATTAATCATGTATATTTAATGAGCAGGGGATGGGTGGAAGCAGGGAGACGCTATTTTGAACAGTTTGTGTAATCCTGAAGAACAGATCAGTTTGGGTCCTGGGTTCCATGGATTTCATGCAATACTGCCACACGAGAAAAGAAGGTGGCCCCGTATGCACTTCTGCATATAGCAGGTTTAGCAGTGGTATTCCTATAAACCTTACCATTTTGTATGAGCTAGTACAATGCATAAAGCTTACTTTTGATCACCTCCTGGTCAAATGTACATGCAGTACAAAAAGCTAGCATTTTGAACAAAATAGCTTTTACTACTAGAATTAAATTTTATTTTCCTCCTCTTCAACACAGGTGAATGCCAGGCAGACAGCACTATATGTGCAGTATGGGAGGGCTAAGCAAATTGCCACAGGTGTCTTTGCTCCACTACATAAAACTCTTCAATGCAGGAGAATACACTCCTACCTCTTCGTACTCTTCCACGTCACAGTAGATGTCTGTGTCAGGAATCTGACCAAGGATTCTGTACTGAGGGCTAGAGAGAAATGGAAGCAAATGTTTCAGTATTATCCCTTATAAAGCAGAAAAGTGAGTATTCAATACAGACTGAAACTTATTTTCAATGGTCATTCTGCAGTGCCTGTCTGGTACAGGCTTATCTAAATGTGGTCAAACGCAGTAGGCAGTTTATGGCAGGAACATAATAAAGGGGCCATTTAGTGACTAGACAAGTTTGCTTCCGTCAGTGCAAAAACAATTTAGAAACTTAGCACACAAGGAGTTTAGGAATTTAGAAACTCCTGTAATGCTGTCATTTTCTGAAGCGCATCAGCCAAAACATGCAAAGGTACAGGGTGAATTCTCTTTGGTGTGAACTGGTGCAATTCTCTTGACTATCTTGCAAATATGGAAGCTCATATTGGCAGAAACCATGCTGCAATTTCAAAGAGCCACTCTGCTCCTAGGACAGTGCCTGAGCAGATGAATATTCCCAACTCACAAGCAGTGTGACAGCAAAGTGCATTACTGTTCTGTTTGCAAGAACAAAACCGTATAGAGATGGCAGAAAAATACTGTTATTTATGCAGAGCGGAAATCTCAGGATTTGGTTTCATTCCAATGCAGACTGAAACCAACACTTTTATACATCTTCCACCTAGACATCCCAGACCTTGAGCCTAGAAGCCTCACATAACAGTCTTATCCACACATGCAAGAAATTATTTTGCTGTAGACCTGGAAAGCTTCATGGTAAAAACTTTGTCACTTTGAATGGGGAGGGAGAAGTGATTTGAAAAATTAGAAGGGCAGGCACAATTTTCTGATGAGTTAGAACTTTCTTGTAAAATACCTTAACATTCATCTAGTGATAACACAACTTCTGCTTGACTGTGACAATTAGTGCACACAAAATGTAATCATTTACTGAAACTAGCATCAAGCAGATTTGAATTTCTGAACTCTAGGCATTACAAAAAGTAAAACAAGGTTAACCAATACAAGAATTTGAAAATCCTCTGTTTATTATTGAAATTGCACATTTCATGCCCTCTAGAAATTTTGTTCTCAGAAAACTAAAATGTGAACCCTGGATCAGAGCCAGAGGGCACGATCTACATATGAAACAGATTCTATACGGCATGCAGTTGAAGAGGTTGGAACAGTCTCCTGCTTACTTGCACTCCTTAAACAAACAAAACCACACAGAAGATCAGCAAACACTAATTTTGATAAAGAAGAAATCTGACCTTTGTGTTCTGTAAATAACGGTTATCACTGCAAACGCTACTGCAGTAAGTAAACCATAGTCTAGTCCCAGGAAAAGAGAAGCCACAAAAGCTACCACCCAGATGGCCTAAAACAAAGAAAAGTTCTGAATTATTATGCATCCTTTTCTGTTAACAGCAAAAACAATAGCATAATTCAGCCTCAAAACCTATGTATCCCTTCTGTTCAGGGACAGGCTATAATGTAATCCATCATGAAAGCAGGCTGTAATTGCCTTAACCTTTCAGAAGGGCATAAAAGCTCAAGACACACTAACATAACATCTGTAAAACTGGCACATATTAATGTCTTAAGTCCTGTTCTCCAAGGAATCCCATGTTACCATCTGACTCCAAATACCTTAGGATAAAAAGAAAAAATATGCAAGGCATGCAAGCAGCTCCCACTTACTTCCATTAGCCAGTTAATCCAGGAGAAAAATGCCACCAAATTGTTCCCTGCGATACACTCTTAGTTCTGGCCCACTCCAGCCAGGTTTTTGGTTTGTCTTAAAAGATGGCAAATACCTTCAACTAGTTTTGTTTCTTACACTGTATTGCAAATTCTTCTCAGACATTCCCACAGCCTTCAATGCGGTTCCTATAGCAACACTGCAAAGGCTTTGCTTTTACTGCAACCAAACTACTTCTGACCTGAGTTAAAGGCTGTCGAACAACAATAAAAACATTCTTGTCTGCAACGGATCACTCTCCTAGGGTACTCACAGCTCCATGTCTTACGTTCATCTGCAATGCAACACCATTTTCTAACTCCATGATAAGTTTCTACCCTGTTTTGGGGGTTAGGAAGAAGAGGAACAACAAATTTAATACAGTAAAATATTTGCACTGAGCTGTGTATTGCTCACCAGTTCAATCTTACTGGTTCTCCAGAAGTGCGCGATATCTCCAAACTGTTTAAACATTCCTTTCAGGTTCACCATTACAATTGCAGCTAGCACTGTCTAGGAATATTACACAAATACAATTTTCAGAAGCAAAATAAACCCAATGCCAAATAAAAATGTCAAAGCATCACAAATAACCGTATCTCTGTGCTTTGTACAACTGATATAAGTCTACTGAACAGATGTTCCATTTAAAAAAACATCTTTTCAAGTAGTTCAGTGGAGATACGCTTTTACTGGGGCTGCAGAAATGGCAAGCCAGAGTCAGTACAGTTTGATCTACTCTTTCCTGGTAAGAGAAATCACATATTCCCAAGCTCCATGCAATTATAGTGCCTGAAGCACCTAGGCTATAATCTCAAATTCAAGTTACTCTACAATATACTGAAACATTTCCTGCAAGGGTCATATAGGTGTAACCCAAGGTACATCTCCTATTAAAAAAACCCAGGAATTGCGTATCATCCTACGCACGCCCCAGAACTATGTTTTTTTTCCTTTTTAAGTGAGACTACATTTATTCACATAAATGTATTTCTCTACAAATAAGCAAAACTATAGCAAAACCAACTCATTATGCTGAGCCATCACCTAGCCTCAACCCTTTCCCAGCTGAGCTGCTACTTTAAAAGAAAGTAACTTTTTAACCTCTTCCCAGAATTCCTATGCTGCAAAGGAGAATTGTTTGAAGGTATCATTTTAATGTTCTAAAGACAGAGTCCAGAATGTCCAATATTAAAAACAACAACAACAAAAAAGCATGCTGGGTCCATCAAAATATTATTAATTTCTAGTCTAACTTACAGCAAAAATGCATACAAAATTTAAAGGTTTCAGGATCAAGGCCTAACTGTGTTTGCTTATTAATGATCCCGCAATCTCTATTTTAAGCAATTACTTGCTGGCCTCTGTTCCCCGACAATCCAATGCCTAACACACAAAAAACTCCCTTACCTGTGGAAGTGGTTCGAAGAGGTATCCAACAGCCACAAGTACCAACAGAACCATAATTGAAGATAGTGCACCTGCAATCTGAACAAGAGAAGCAAGAAATTATGTGAGAGTATTAAGAAGTGCCCCCACAGGGTAGTATTACTGATCAGCTAACCCCTCTTGTGCTTTCCCCAAGGCTGGTTATTCAAGTAGCTTTTGATCCCTCCCACTCAGTTCATCCCTTTGGGCTGTTGTGCAGGCTGCTATCCTGGCCCAACCTGGATTTGAACATGGGAAACTCCAGTGATTCCTTCTGGCCGAGGCACAGAAATCTGGCAATCTAGTGAAGCTTCAGACTAGCTTTGGAGCTCCAAAAAGCATACTTTGTTTGGCTCAAAATCTGGGTTTACATACCTGAGTTTTCCCACCGGTGCTTTCCTGAACAAGACTCCGAGACATTGAGCAAGTGACTGAAAAGCTTTGGAAAAATGACCCCACAGAGTTGCATATTCCCAAGGCAATAAGTTCCTGCATTAAACAATGGAGCAAAACAAAAGGCAGTTATACCTAGCAACTGTATGAAGCTGGAGCTATCCATACATATTAATAACCACATCTTATTTACAGGGCTCTCTAGCAACCTTATTGTAGGGAATAAGCAACCTTATTGTAGCTTGTACTTGTGGTTCTCACACATGTGCAAGTTGATCCATGTTAAATCATCTGTTAAATAAAGGATCTGACGAAGCGTTCAAGACATTTCCCATTCTTAAATGTTACTGTAATGAGTCACACTGAAAACGAAAATGAATGACAGCATTGCTTGTTTTGAGGATTTCTTCAACTTGGGGATAACTTGAATTTTAACACTGAATACACATGGAAAATGGTTTCCCGTATAAACACTGTTCTTTGCTTCCTACTCTAAACTATCTGTTTAGTACTATTAGAACCAAGAGCAGCCTTGACTGTGTTTCCATGGGTGGTAATCCATGGCTGTACGTGAAAAAACCAACACGCGCCCACTGTTTCATCAGGAAGATCCCGCGAGAACTGTTATCACGAGTGAGATCAGAGCTCCATCTACCTCAGTATTGTGTTTCTGACATGTAAGAAAGTATTTGCTTGTAATGCAGCCTCCCCAGATTACCCTGCATCCCGCTATTTGTAACTGAGGTGATTTGAGTTATATGTTTTCAATAGTTCTCAATGAGTTTTTCTCTTTGCATTTGTACAGTCCTTTTTTTATTAATTTAAACACTCAGCATGCACTGCATCAGGTGACAAGGAGTTCTATAGTTTAACATACAGGTGAAGTAGCATCTGGCACCTCCTGAGGAAAAAGATCTAGGTGCTTAACTCAGGTCAGTGATGATTACTTTAACTAATGTAAATAGCGCTGATTCCATTCATGCAGCTACGGATTTGTCTCTTCTCTCTTTGGGTAACAGAAAACAATGATACGAAGGATGAAATTCATCTGACCAGATATAAAACTCTGTAGGTAAAAGTCATTTAAACTCCATTTACTCTGAGGAAGACAGCCATTTTGAGAAGGGGGAACAGCTGATCTGTGCTGTGCCAGATGCGTGCTCTAGGAAATGAGTTGCAGCGTACGAACTGTCTCCCTTGACACCACAATGATATCAACCAATAATCCAATTGCAATATTGATTCTAAATTACACAGGAAGGACAGAGTCGGTGAGGATGACATATTGTTTCAGTTTTAGAGAGTCCCTAACCTTTATCACTCAAATCGCAATCAGAATGCTAACGACGGACAGGGCCAAGTGCTGCCCCAGAAAATGACGAGCTGCCTATTTGCAATGGGTGGGAATAAAAAGAAGCTATAAAACAGAACTGGAATTTCTAAACTTGTAATAATAGTTCTTTGACACATAAGGCATTGTATTTATCACATGGAACTCTGTGCTTCGCTCTATTACAGAAAGCAGCGATAAAGTAGCTGCCCATCAGGACAGCAGGGTAAGCAATGCCTCCCCCAACAAATATGTCCAAGTCTAACAGAAGCAAGTTTCCCAAAATGAAGCTAAAAGTGAAACTGGTTATTAAAGCACAGCCAGAAGAAGAACTTAAAATAATTCCCGGCATTTGAATGTGTAGGCTGTCAAAAACTTGACCTGATTCCACTATGAAAGAAAAACTCATTTTTGTCTAATATCCCATTCTACTTTAATGACGTAACAAAGGCGCTACTGAGAATTTTCAACAAAACAACCCCAATACTTTTACCTGATTCCCATCAATGGTGTAGCCATGTTTAAGGGCAAAGATCTTGGCCATTGATACAGCCATTGAAAATCCAACTATTGCTATTGCTATTGCATCCACAAATATTGCTGGGATGAGCTGAATCTCGGGAACTGCTGGTGCACATAACCTTAGAGATGAAATAAATATTTACAAATTACTATAATAAGAGCTACATGCCATATGGAAAAGGTATAGTTTGAATAAGAATGTATCATCCCTACCCTTGAGGAATATTGCCAACAACATCCACTCCATATGACTCACTCAGATTCATTCCAGCTGAAACTCCTGTGCCAATAATTACCTAAAAATCCACAAACACTTTTGTAAACATCAGCTAGATAAAGCCACGTGAAGAACTAATAACAGTTAGCTGATTACGAATAATGCACACAAGGGATTACATTTATCTGTCAATCAGTTTTCTAAGACTTAGGGGGTAAAGAAGCAGATAAAAAGGAGGAAGTATCATGATTTTCCCTCCATGATGTTCAACCCCCACTGATTTTATAAAAGTTTCTTGGAAACAGTTAAATGGAACATGCTATGGTATGATCTGAATCACTCGAACTCCTTTTGCCTGAGTCAAGCTCAGGCAGAATAGTGTATTGGGAAATTAAATGCAAGGACAAGCCAAGGACGTCTCCACTGCCATATTTGCATGTGCATAACCGGCATGCTATATGTAAACAGAACTGGTGCAGCAGCAGTGAAAGGAACAGGTGTAAGATTGCTTTGCTATTGCCTTACTATCAAATACCCTATTAAACCACCTCCATCATCTCTCAACAGCATCCCTTTTCTTTGTTCCTTCTATATAGATTGTACCCATACCTTCAGTTATTCACTTTCTCAGCTCTGATTTTGCGCAGGTTGTTTGAGAGCTCTAGTTATCCAAGAACTCATTTTTAAATCCAACCACTTTTCAAGATGAAATGTTATTTGAGACGTGGGCTTTGTGTGTATTAAGATAGTCTGCTTTATCCATGTATTTTAGAGTAGTCATTCGAAACAGAATCAATGCTGCAGTCAGTTATCAGTCTCAGAAACAGAGAAAGGAAGGTTGAGTATTAAGTCTCGCTGGTTCCTGCCCTTCCTTCTACCACTGCATTTTAAAAAGCAAGCAAGCCCTGCAGAGCCTCTGAAACAGGCATCTGTAAGCACCTTCCTTCAGGAGAGGGTTCTGAGCTCTTGGACTCCAAGTGGGAAATGCTACTCAGTGGCATCTCGCAGAGAATCATTCCGGTGCCAAAACTCCAGGACAGAGTGGGTTTTACAACAAATCTCTACCTACCCATTGCCATACGGGGACTGTGGGCATTTAACTGAGTTTTCAATTCTTCTTCGAGACTTTACACCTAACACTTGGGTATGTCAGTCCCTAGCCTTACAAGTATCCAAACCTTCAACTGGATCAAGCCTCAAATGAATTATGCTCAACAGAAGTTACTCTAAAGCTCAGTACAACTTGACAGAAAATGAGATAGTTTCTACAGCTTTAGAATAGTTATATAATTTAGCTACAGAATTTCACAACTGGCTTACCACAATGATCTCCATAGGAATAGGAACTGGGAGTTTCTTCTTAAACCGGAGATTGATTTCCTTGCCAATCAACAACAGAACAATGCACGTTAATCCGACAATCAATGCAGCAATATTGGTCGTTGTTATTTTTGAAAGCACAGCAGCTATGCTCTGTAACACAACAGAAGTATCATAATTATTCCTAAGAAAATATAATCTTCATGGAGATTTGCCACAAAAGAGCAAATTACACACTGCTGTTCAGCTGTGTTTTTATTCTGCATTTATAAACACAGTGAATCAGTGCCTCACCAAAATCCCCATTGTTCCCATAAAACACAGAAGTTCAGAGTATCTCAGTGAGAAAGATGCACTTGCAATCATTTACAGTATCAGTCTTCCTCAAATGGGGCAAAAATTTGGAGAAAAAACTATCATGGGGGGAAAAGTCTAAACTAAACCACAACTCTTACCCTCAACATTTTCACACATATTTCATATTGGCAGCTACCTGGAAGCAATAAATGCAAACTCCTTCTAATAGCTTCAAATATTCTTTGGCAAGTCACATCTACTTAGAGCTGCATAAACCATTCTAAAACAATAAAGCTGCTGATACAACCACTGAGGTTACAATAGCAATATGATTAAATAAGAGTGATCTTGCAACACTGCTGAACTGGCCATTATTCCACATATCTTTTAGTTGAAAACACTATTAAAAGGGTGTTAGAAAAGAAAGCTTGCTGGAACACACAAGTTGCTAGAGGGTAAATGATCCCTCTACCATTACTCCGCCTTCTTCCCCTGCGTTTCAAAAAAAAAAAAAAAAAAGACGACCTCTGGAGAGGTCTTTGAAAGAAGATGTACACACCTGTCTTCAGACAGAAGCAACTATCAGGATATTATACATTCAAGACATTCTGGTAGTACATCTTGAATGTATACCTTCCCTCCTATTTCTTTGGCAGTTAGCATGTCTGGCTTCTGGATTAGTGAACTAAACAGCAAATTTCAGATTAGTCATCAGCGCAGCCTTGTTTCCAAAAGGTTTGTTATATCTGCACAAATATACAACAAAGATTCCCACAAAGCATTTTTCTATAGCCTCCATGTAGTCAAAATCCTGAAGCTTCATTATTGCTGAGCTATCAATCTGCACAAAAGCTTGGGTTTCCACAGATATCTGAGATCTTCCCTATTCTTCCACTCAGGAGTTCTTGTCTGCAAAACCAGAGCATTAATTTTGTGGTAACAGCTTGGGGCTTCCTAGACTGGCAGGCAAATCAGATTCAGGTGCATTTCAACTCTGCTTGTTCATAACAGCAAGAAAAGTAATGCTCATATAACCTTAAAAGCTTTGGTTGTGATTCCAATTAGAAATGTCCCTTTAAATAAATAATTAGCTGCATGGGATCTGTTACATTTTTTTCAGAGCAGAACTGTCAATTTTAAATTCAAGTGAACAAGAGCTTTTGTTTCTACTTAAGTCTTACTAACCAAATCGTAGCTTTACACTGCATGGTTCTTCTTCTATCCTCTCACATCACTACGTGTTAGACAGAAGGTGAGTGGAAGATTAAGGCTACGAGCTATGTCAAATACTGGATCCCTACATGCTCTGAACAATCAGTTTTAATGTGTAGGGTCTTCAGTAAATAGCAATGTTTTATACCGAGTGTCCTTATTTCAAAACAGTTTTTCCCACTACTCTAAAGAACGGGTACATTTATGATGACACAGCACTTTGCATCCAACCACACTACAAAACAGCTTACAAACAGGAAACAAAGAACACTCCCATCAGGAACTGTGTGTGAAATTAAAGAAATACAGACCGGGCAAGGTTCTGAGAATAGCATTTTCTGGCTTTGCAAAACATTGGTCTACAGTGAAGCATTTTAGTAGCTCATTTTCCCATGATGTACATGAGACTTGCTTTAATGAACATTACCTGTTCATATTACAAAACTACATTTACCAGAATCCTAAAATCTGCCTATCTCAGACCTTGCTGATCTATCAAGTCGCACCCAAGCTGCACTTTAAGATGCTCATATGTTGCTATGGCACTTAAAGACCTCATACCCAGTTTTGAACACTGAAGCGTTATTCCACTTAGTGCCAAAATAATGAAAAAAAAAAAAAAATAGGAAAAGGCTTAAGTACTAGATCCAGGCAATGCAGAATTTTCATGTTTAGTAAATGTAGTTACTCACATATACAACTGAGAGGGGTCCACTGTATCGGTTAGTCTTAATGCCAAGGAGATACTTTAATTGAGAAGTAAAGACATGAACCGCAGCAGCAGTAGTAAACCCTCGCACCAGAGGCTCTGTTAGATAGATGGCTACAAATCCAAATCGAAGGAGACCTAAACATAACTAATGAAGAAGAGAAATATTAAGCATGTGACTCCCACTGTAGCCTGAACATCAGCACTATATAGCAGACAGGCCACAGGACACGTCTTCTTATGTCGATGCCCAAGCCAGACCAGACAAACCTGAACTTGGCCTTTCTAAAGCCACAGTTCAGTAAGCAGCCATCAGTGCACCAAATCTTCCATGCCACTGGCAGGTGCAATGTGGGATAGGGGTAAACACCTGTGTTTGTATGCATTTATGGACAGATTAGAGAACACCAGGTTGAGTTTTTCTGATGGGATAGGAAAAAATGAAAGGGGGGGTGTCCCATTTTTCCCAGTCAAGCCAAGATGCCAAAGACTTGCCTCCAAGTATCCCTCCCCACTTCTGTTACGTGACTGCCAGGAAGCAGCCTGTATTCTACACAGTGCAGTGCTGAAGCACACGTCTATTGACAGGGGATCCGCCACGACCCAGCACCCCTTGCAACTGCAAGTCTACCAGCAGCATCTGAACTTGCTCTTACAGCAAACTGCAAGCACGTACCTGGATGACTCCTGAAAGAAAGGCGAGAGTCACAGCCACCTGTACCCTCTTGGCATCCCTAGCATTGTAATATTCAAAGGAATCTGTAACATTGGTAGAATTATGGCCTACAGAAACCATTTCATCAGGCACTTGTCTCACAGCAACGCCGCCAACCATCATACTAATCACAGCAAAGGTGCCTGAAGTAAGAGGGAGAGGAAAATAATTGGTTAAAATCCTGGCAGGTTTGTTTTTTTTTTTTAGGAGTGGTTCTTATTAAGAACCTATAATTATTATTACCTAAATATTGCATTTTTTAGTCCCAAAATCTGCGCCAGTCCTCAGCACCATTAAAGCTAGTTAGATGGTGAACAGACACCTCTATGGTAAGTAAACAACCATAATTTTTTTCTGTTTCGATTATGCAAATTAAAGATTCATCCTGACCACACAGACAGCTGACTGCAGCAATGAAATTATAGTTCAGGAGTTCACAACACACATTTCTAGATCTAATCCGATAAAAGATGCTCTTCTATTCCTTCCTAAGTAGGATGGATAAATGAACAATAAAAAATACTGCTAATGTTTGACACATTTGTGTTTCTCCTATTCACTAAATTTGAATTTATGGAAAACAACAACACTTTCTATTTCTCCAATTTTATTTTTTACAACTTTATTAAACACACACACACACACACACAGACTTTCAGTTATTGATACAGATATACCTATTGATATGTGCTTGGAGGTTCCAAAAAAAGTATACAGAAAGACAGGATAAAATGAAGAATATAGGCCAAATACTGGGGGAACAGCTGCCAGCAAAGCATAGGCTAAACCTAGAAAACAGACACAAATATGTATGTTAGGCAAACAACAGAAAGAAACCATCTGAAGCAAAAGGATTTAAGCCTACTGAAATTGAACTCACCTAACAGAAAATCCAGTGACATATCACAGGTTTAAAACCCAAGAAGTCTTGCAGGGAATATTCTTTAATATGTATAATACTGTAGGGCAGTGCCTAGAAACCTGATGGTTTGAGCCAGGAAACCAGAAGTCTCTAATTACAGGCACCGCAGGTGTGTGCGTGCATGTTTGTGTGTACATCTGTGCACACATTGTTTTGCCTTTGTGGCTGGAAGTACTTCTTAATAGCCAACAAACACTTTTTGTTGCTTTTGTTTTCGTCTGTCAAAGAATGTAATTAGAAACACCCAAAACCCCATAACCAGTGGGACACATTTGATTTTTCTTCTCCTTTTCTCACCATACATGATCTTCACGGTAATCTATGACTGATTAAACACTTCCCTTCTCCCTCACCCCAGAATGAGTGGGATAACATAACAGTTTATGTTTCCGCAAAGCATGCTCCAAAATGTAAAACAAGCACAGAATCATTGCTTACAATCTGTAAGGTCATAGAGCTTATACAGTCTGGTATTCTTCCCAAAAATGAGGTCCCTTTTCTTACTAAGCCCTGTCCAGTTCCACGCAGTGGCAGTGCGATTCGCACCATTCCTATTTGTAGGGGGGTGGCAAGCACAGCAATTGAGCTGTGGGGGAACACCTCCCATGGTGCTCCCCCTCCGCGTGACTGAGCGTGTGCTTATCACAGGACCGGGCTTACAAGCAAACTGTGTGCACCACATAATATGGCGTGTAACCATCCCGAGCAGTTCCAGCAAAATCACCAGTTCTACATAGCTTGCGTTAATGAGAAGTAGACACCAGAACTGAACAAACTGGACTAGAGAAGAAAATGCTGTACCCTGGCTTGGCTTGGTTCTCCAATTCATCTTCGCAAGTGCAGACTCATGACACCAGAGGAAGCTGTGTGCTCTTACCACACTCGGGCAGACTGGTCCACATTAGGACAGAAAAGCAAAATGGGCCAGTGCAAATTACAAAAGGAAGCAATGGTTCACACACCATGGAGAGCTAGTAATACTCAAAAACACCTCTCCCTATTAATTTATTTTTAAATTGAGAGACAAAGCATCAGGTTTCAACGGAAGAACAAAAACAGGAAGGGAACTTGTGTGTCATCCAAGCACTCTTGCGCAGTGTAATAGCTCACATGGCCTTGCTCATGCCCTAAGCAATGTCCAAGTCCTAACCAAGAATTCATATTCCTATCAGAACTGGACTGATTCTATCGTTTATTCTTCTTGCAGCAATGAGCTTATCATTAAGTACTTCTGAAACTCATCCCACACACATTTTCTGCCCCAGGGGCTACCTCTCATGCCAAGCATATCAGCAGAACACCCTGTACTATTACAGCCTGGCCTTTAATATGGTGATGAACTTAACAGTACAAGTGACCAGAACTGAAACCCAGTGGTTTCAAAACCGGGAGGGTTCCCGATCCAAATAGAAACATATCCCTGGAAACATTCAAGGTCCGGTTGGACAGGGATCTCAGCAACCTGGTCTAGTTAAAGCTGTCCTTGCTCACTGCAGAGGGGTTGGGCTAGATGATGTCTAAAGGCCCCTTCCAACCCAAAGCATCCTATGATTCTATGATTCAAATACCCTTTTATTCCTTTTCCTTTTCGTTTGTACTGGCATTTTTAAAGGCTGTCAGTGCCAAGGAAATAAGGAGATATTGACATGACAGGAGTTCATGGCTTAAACACCCTGGTCATTGTAGTTCTTCCTGGAACCATTCCCAGGCTTCTTTGAACTCATACTTGCTATAATTACACCCATTCCAGAAAAATAAAAGTTCAACTTTTGTCTGTTTAGAGGAGAAAGATTAGGAGCCGTTTAAGGGCATGTCTGCAGTCACTGAAGGAAAGAGTAATGTTCAGTTCAAAACAAAGTCACAAAATTAAGTATAAAGTTCACTGCCAACCACTTACATTTCAGTGTCCTTATCTGGTCATCACAAACTGTGTTTCAGTATACAACCGGTAATGTTTGTGTCTAGATTTGCCTGACAGTTAACCACATTACTTATCAATTTAAGATAAGCTGATGTTTATATTTGTGTAAGAAAAAATATCCTTAATTATAAAAAATAGCACAAAACCGGGAAGCTACAGAAATCAAGAAATGAACTGCACAGACTAAGTTAGGATATGCCATTGCTTTAATGGGTTACTGCCTATTAAAATCCAGGCTTCTTGGATTTACAGATTAATTCTTCAGACCTGCCTCAGCCTAAAGTGGAACAAGTGAGGTGGAAATACGAAATAAGCCAAAATGCAAGTAAACTTATATATGCTTAATTACATTACCCTTAGCATGAGGACTCCTCTGGACTGGGCTCTGCACAAATTCAAGAATTCCCTCTACTCCAAGACCTCCTGGGGAAATCTACTGGGACTGTTGCAGCTGTCATGAAGCTGCCATTCCCACAGCAGTGATGGCACCCATTATGATACTGCTGTAAAAATGCTGTCACTTTCTAACCCCATAGCAGTTCTGAAACTGCTGATAGTAAGGTGTCAGGCTGAACAAAAGATTCCACTGGTCCAGTCACCCAGAGCTGAACTGAACAGTGAACACTGGCTTTCTCTTCGCCTTCCACAGAGCCTGCTCCTGCTTCAGGGCCAGGCTCCACTGGCGGTGAAACTTCCAAGTAATTTAACAGAAATTCCACATATTTGCAGTCTTGTTATAGAAGATACTTTTGATTTATTTCCACCACGTAAATCACTGCCCACTGCTATGGTTCCAGCTTAAACTGGTAATTTCCAGCCTTAAGAGAAAAAGAGGAATCAGTCTCTGATTTCTTGCATGTTCTTCTCCGGTTGAATTTAGTTTGGTTCCTTTGCAACAGTTGCTCTCCTGAAGCACTATAGAATCATAGAATTGTTTAGGTTGCAAAAGACCTTTAAGATCATCAAGTCCAACCATTAACCTAGCACTGCTGAGTTGCCGAGTCCACCACTAAACCATGTCCCTAAGCACTACATCTACATCTACACGTCTTTCAAATACCTCCAGGGATGGTGACTCACCCACTTCCGTGGCCAGCCTGTTCCAGTGCTTGACAACCCTTTCAGTGAAGAAATCTTTCCTAATGTCCAATCTAAACCTCCCCTGGCGCAACTTGAGGTCATTTCCTCTTGTCCTATCACTTGTTACTTGGGAGAAGAGACCAACACCCCCCTCACTACAGCCTCCTTTCAGGGAGTTGTAGAGAGCGATAAGGTGTCCCCTCAGCCTCCTCTTCTCCAGGCTGAACAACCCCAGTTCCCTCAGCTGCTCCTCACAAGACCTGTGCTCCAGACCCTTCACCAGCTTCATTGCCCTTCTTTGGACACACTCCAGCAACTCCATGTCTTTCTTGCAGTGAGGGGCCCAAAACTGAACATATATGAGATGCAGCCTCACCACTGCCGAGTACAGGGGCACAATCACTTCCCTGCTCCTGCTGGCCACACTATTCCTGATGCAAGCCAGGATGCTGTTGGCCTTCTTGGCCACCTTTTTTTTTGCTGGCTCATGTTCAGCTGGCTGTTGACCAACACCCCCAGGTCCTTTTCCACCAGGCAGCTTTCCAGCCACTCTTCCCCAAGCCTATAGCATTGCATGGGGCTGTTGTGACCCAAGCATAGGACATGGCACTTGGCCTTGTTACAGCTGGCGTCGGCCCATCGATCCAGCCTGTCCAGATCCCTCTGTAGAGACTTCCCACCCTCAAGCAGATCAACGCTCCCGCCTAACTTGGTGTTGTCTGCAAACTTACTGAGGGTGCACTTGATCCCCTCATCCAGATCACTGATAAAGATATTAAACAGAACTGGCCCCAGTACTGAGCCCTGGGGAACATCACTTGCAACCGGCCGCCAACTGGATTTAACTCCGTTTACTACAACTCTTTGGGCCTGACCATTCAGCCATTTTTTTTACCCAGTGAAGAGTACGCCCATCCAAGCCATGAGCAGCCACTTTCTCCAGGAGAATGCTGTTGGAAACAGTGTCAAAGGCTTTACTGAAGTCCAGGTAAACAACATCCACAGCCTTTCCCTCATCCACTAAGTGGGTCACCTTGTCATAGAAGGAGATCAGGTTAGTCAAGCAGGACCTGTCTTTCATAAACCCATGCTGACTGGCCCTGATCCCCTGGTTGTCCTGTACATGCTGCGTGATGGCACTCAAGATGATTTGCTCCATAACCTTCCCTGGCACCAAGGCCAGGCTGACAGGCCTGTAGCTCCCCAGATCCTCCTTCCGGCCCTTCTTGTAATCACGCTTTCTAACGTGCAGTCAACTGGGACCTCCCCGGTTAGCCAGGACTGCTGATAAAGGATTGAAAGGGGCTTGGTGAGCACTTCCACCAGCTCCCTCAGTGCCCTTGGGTGGATCCCATCCAGCCCCATAGGCTTGTGTGTGTCTAAGTGGTGTAGCAGGTCACTAACCATTTCCCCTTGGATTATGGAGGCTTCCTTCTGCTCCCTGTCCCTGCCTTCCAGCTCAGGGGGCTGGGTACCAGGAGAACAGCTGGTCTTACTATTAAAGACTGAGGCAAAGAAGGCATTAAGTACCTCTGCCTTTTCCGCATCCTTTGTCACTATGTTTCCCCCCGCATCCAATAAAGGATGGAGATTCTGCTTTGCCCTCTGCTGTAGTTATATGTAGTTATAGAAACACTTTTATTGTCTTTTATGGCAGTAGCCAGACTAAGTTCTAGTTGGGCTTTGGCCCTTCTAATTTTCTCCCTGCACAGCCTCATGACATCCTTGTAGTCCTCCTGAGTTGCCTGCCCCTTCTTCCAAAGGTCATAAACTGTCCTTTTTTTCCTGAATTCCAGCCAAAACTCTCCGTTCAGCCAGGCTCATCCTCTTCCCCGACAGCTCATCTTTCAGCGCATGGGGACAGCCTGCTCCTGTGCCTTTAAGTTTTTCTTCTTGAAGAACGTCCAGCCTTCCTGGACTCCTTTGCCCTTCAGGACTGCCTCCCAAGGGACTCTGTCAACTGGAGTCCTACACAGGCCAAAGTCTGCCCTCTGGAAGTCCAAGGTAGTGGTTCTGCTGACCCCCCCGCCCCTTTCTTCTCCAAGAATCGAAAACTATCGTTTTGTGATTGCTGTGCCCAAGATGGCGTCCCCACCGTCACATCACCCACAAGTCCTTCTCTGTTCGCAAACAACAGGTCCAGCGGGGTGCCTTCCCTAGTTGGCTCCCTCACCAGCTGTGTCAGGGAGTTATCTTCCACACACTCCAGGAGCGTCCTAGACTGTCTCCTCTCTGCTGTATTGTATTTCCAGCAGACATCTGGTAAGTTGAAGTCCCCCACGAGAACAAGGGCTAGCTATTTTGAGACTTCTCCCAGCTGCTTACAGAATATTTCATCTGCCTCTTCATCTTGGTTGGGCAATCTATAGCACCATGATATCTGCCTTGTTGGCCTTTCCCCTGATTCCTACCCATAAACACTCAACCCTATTGCCACCATCATTAGACTCTAGACAATCAAAACACTCCCTAACATACAGGGCTACCTCATCACCTCTCCTTCCTTGCCTATGCCTTCTGAAGAGTTTATAGCCATCCATTGCAGCACTCCAGTTGTGAGAGTCATCCCACCATGTTTCTGTGATGGCAGCTATATCACAGTTTTCCTGCTGCACAGTGGCTTCCAGCTCCTCCTGTTTGTTGCCCATGCTGCGTGCATTGGTGTAGATGCACTCCAGTTGGGCTATTGATCCCACCACCTTTTTTGGGGGAGAAGCCCTAATTCCTACATGACCATTCTCAGGTGCTTCCACAGTTTCTAACACATCCATAACCCTTGCGTCTTTGCTGCTGCATGGATCTGCACCCCCTACCTCCACTGAGACAGCAGACCGAAGGACCTTGCTGCACAAACATTAGCATGACACCCCCAGGCATGGGGTTATCTCTAGTGAGCCTGGTTTCATCCCTTTCCCCCTTCAAATCTATTTAAAGCTCTTTCAATGAGCCCTGCTAACTCCTGTGCAAAGATCCTTTTCCCCCTTTGAGACAGCTGTGCCTGTCTGTTGCCAGCAGGCCTAGTGTCATGTAGACCGACCCACGATCAAAAACCCCCAAATTCTGCCGGTGACACCAGGCTTGGAGCCAGGTATTGATCTGCTGTCTCTTCCTTTGTCTTCACTCATCATTCTCTGCACCTGGAAGGACAGAGGAGAACACTACTTGTGCTCCTGGTCCCTTAACCAGTCGTCCCAAGGCTCTGAAATCTCTCTTGATTGCCCTCGGACTTCCTGTTGCAACTTCATCACTGCCTACCTGAAAAATTAATAATGGATAGTAATCTGAGGGCTGTACCAGGGTAGGAAGCTTATCTCTATGTGTATTAGATACTGCTACCCTCTGTAGGAAATTTGCTACAACTTTCAGGATGATGAGATCAGAAAGTAATTGTGTGCATTCAGCAAAGGTTTAGACATGCACTTAAACTGTGAAAAGTTGTTCTGTCATTGAGAGTTGTTGGTATTGATCAGAGAGGTACGCTTCTTTCAGAGTTTGCTGCATATCACTGACTTGCAGTTTTAAGGGAATCATCATTATGGGCTGGTCTGCAGAATGCTATACTGATCTCCACACACATACCTGAAATACACATCCTATTCTCACGAGCACCTGTTCAAGAAGCCAAGCACTATGATAAAAGCACACACAGAAAAAGCAAAGAGGAGGATAAATAAATCCAGAGAGATACTCACCTTGAGGAAGCTGCATAACCCCAGTGCTTATACCTGAGATAATGTCTCCTAATAAGTATTCCTTCACTGGGTAACGGGGAAGCCATTTTAAAATTGGTAAGAAACTGTAAAGATGAGACTTGGCTTTCTTAGAAGAACAACTGAAAATACAATGCAGAAAGAAGTTAGACACTAGCAGGGGACAAATGGGTGAAAAAAATTGTCTTTCATCCCTATGCAGGGAAACGGCTCCATTAAAGGCAGCCTCAGACCCCTGATGACAATTTCTGGACAAAGCTTAAGCACAAACAACTATGACTCCAGTTAATTTAGCCCTTTATCACATGTTGGTTGCTGTACACAAACCTTATGGAACTGGAGAAGAGAATCACAGTCTTGTGAGGCTGGAGATCAGTGGAAAGTGAAACTGGTCAAGTCCATGCACGATTGACCAGTCACACAACACTTTTGCTGAGATCGTTCCTAGTAACAATCCCATGAGGATAACTTGCTTTCTAATAGCAGTTTTCACTCAAAGTACTTTGCAATGCTTTTTCCTATTTTTATTTACTATTTGCGTGCTTTATACTTTTTTGATTATAACATTTTATATTATTATGCTTTTTTTTAAAAACTATTATTTTACTAATGCTTGTTACTATCACTGGTACTGATAGGCTAACTTTAAGGCTATTTGAGAATAATAACCCTTCTTTACCCTGAAAGGAAAGGCACTGAAGCCAGCAACACTGATCCTTGTGTCTCTTAGCAGAGTTATTAACCTTTTGAAACCCTGACTCATGACAAATTAATAGAGCCAGGAAATGAATATCTCTACCCAGTACTGCCATGCATCATACTTTGATTGTACTGTTGTAAGAATATTTAACCTTGGGTAAAAATATAACACTGGGATCATATAAATGTTCTTCTGTGTAGGGGAACTGCAAGAGAAGGGCAGAGATTTGTTAACATTTCTGAATTCTCATGGGACTAAACTGCATAGTGAAGAAGCTTATTGCTACAAGTGAGAGAGGAACTGGTCATCCACACTTCTCCATGTTTAAGCAGATTGAATCACAAGAAGTCATAGCTCAGGAAGATTTTGTTCCATATATTTTTTATTCAGGGCAGATTAGTTTTTTGAGGTGGAATTAGGTGCCATTACCATTAGAATGGTCATTCCATTAGCCAAAACAATTTCTCCAATTTCTCTTCATATGATTTCTTGTCAAATCATATGAACAGGAATATTTTACAGACAAGCAGTCAGGCAGAAATCATTTGTTGTCTTGCAGAACAAGGTTCTAGCAAGAAATTGAATCAACTCTGCAAGTGAAGCATGGATAAATGTAAAGCTAATGAGAACTTAACTAGAGTAAGTTTCTCTTCACTATCGTCTGGTACCACAGAGCAAGAGTTACAGTTAAAGACACTTCCTGTCTAACCAGATGATACTTAGGTTCCAAGGCAGTTAATAGAGGCATTCTGTAGCTTTTAACTAAGTCCTTATTAGACTAATAATTTAGATTTCTACACAGCTGTCATACAACTCTGTTCTTCTTCCATGAATGGATCATATAAAGCACAAACTTGGCCGTAAGTATTTCCATGTAAAAAGGACAGATGTTTTTCTGGGTCTTACAAATTCATGTCACGTGATTTGACGTGGCATTCCTATGCTGCATATTTTTCCTTTGCACTTTGATGAAGGCAATTCAACTAATTTATCCAACATTTTGTAATATAGTTATATATTAACATATAAAAACATATATACCACTTAATTGCAGTCTTGCTGAATAATCAAAGTAGAACTAGTGCTTTTATCTTTTAGGTTTCTTTGAAGACATTACCAGCTATGTGCATGTATCAATTAAGAACTAGAAAATTTCTACCTAAAAAAGTAAAGATAAGACAAAAAACCCTACCGACAAGAATGTGCAATCTTCTGCCTTAAAGTCTGAGGTGTTCTTTCTCGTCTGTGCAGCTGTCCTTGCAAGAGCTCTTGGTTATATACTGGTCTCTCCACACAATACCTCTGGGTTTGCTCATGACATGCTTCATGTTCTTGAGCATGTTCCATAGTTGATCTCACGGAGCAGGAGCCAAGGAAGAACAGTTCCACAGTCTCCACTGAAAAACCTGGACACAGACAAAATAAGTTTGGTTACGTTTTTAACCTTGGATTTGGCATTTCCTTTCAAAGACTGTATTTTGACAAGCTAGAGCCAAAAACTGTGAATGCAGTTTAAAAGCACTAATTAGATAGTCTGTAACAGCAGTAAGTAAATAAACCACACTCACAATCTTTACTACATGGAAGCCATTAATTTATGCTCCTCTTAGGTAAAGAAACCTTTTTCATTAATTACTCTGTAAATAATTGCAGAAACAAAATTGGAAGGTTATCTTCATGCTCATCTGGATTTTCCCTCCTCAAGTTTTTAAAGGAAATGTCAGTGTTAAAGGGAGATTACTTTATTGCTGAGTTACTTCCTGCTCACTCACAAACTGTCACATCCATCTCCAAAAGACAGAACTCCAATTTTAGCACTGAGAAAGCCACTTCTTTCTTCCAGATAGCCAGTTGCTTCCCGCATCCATCCACCTGCTTTCCCCTCTGTTTCAGACGCTTCTTTTTCCAGACAGCATCCCAAGGATGCACAGTTCACTACTTTCAAAAAGTTATTCTTTCAATGGATGTGCCACTTACTGCTATTCTCAGTCCTGCTCCCACTAAAACAGAAGTCAGGAGATGTACACAATTTTTAAACTAGCCAGAAGGTTTGTAAACATCTATTTGTCTGATTCAGTGCCATAAACATCTTAACATGTTTAGGAGATACTCTGTTAATTCCTTTGCCCCGTGTTGGCTGCTACTAGAAATATGGGGCAAGGAACGTAACTTCAAATTATGAGCAAAATGACAGGACTGCTATATCGTTAACCAGAGATGCTGGCTAGCGCTACATTTGATGACAGAACATGAGTGCAATGGGAAACAGAGCCATAATTGTGAACAAGGCCCTTGGGCTCAAGTCCAGCAAGTCACTTAAAGCATGTGTTTGCCTTCAACCAAGGGAGCTAACCCAGAGGTGTTTAGTTTTTAGCTGTACATCAATACCTTCCTAGAAAAGGGCTACCACGAAGAAATTAAACAAACTGCTTCCTAAACACTCAGACAAAGCTAACCACGATTGGCCCAACATTCTCATTCAGCAAATACAGTCTGCCTGGTAACAAAATACTAATATTGCTACCTAAGCCTTCAGTCTGACAAAGGTGCTGGAATTTTCCACTCAGGGCTTGCTGTTCTCTATCACCCAGGACAGGCGCAGCCTAGCATCTCTTCCATTCTCATTATTCTGTAAGCAACATTTTCCCTATGTAGTCAGTCACAAAAGGATTTTTTACCAAAATTATAGTTTTTTTTATCTACACCACATTTGATATTTACTTCAGCTTTATTGCGTGAAATAAGATATCTAAAACTTGTTTGTGAGAACAGTATCATATCAAGGGTACTATCAGAGCTTGTTACCTTCGTATTCCTGAAACAAATCTGAAGCTTCTTTGACATGTTTCCACAGTTTCCGTTCACTAAGAAGCCTGAAGGACATTTTGTGAACTGTTTTCTCATGTTGTTGTTCAGCAGATTGGAACTCTCAGCATTTACAATTCCCTGCACCCCCCCTTCCTGCAGATTTTGATCCGTTCGATATTAGAACAGGATTGTTCTACCAGCAATTCCCATCTGAGCAGCCCTCTGGCTTTTTCCTCACCTCCATATTATCACCTGTATCTTATTTCATATTTACAGCAATGCTGTCCATACTAAGATATATGTTTGGCCACTAACATCTGTAGCACTCTTTTTCCACATCAATGTCTACCCACCTACAAATACCACTTCCTACTTCATATCTTGCCCTGTCACAGGCAGTGAGCTACCCATGAATCCTAGTGTATCGACTTCTGCCCAGTGAAACTGAAACTTTAACTACCCTAGTGTCTGCTGGAAGGGCAACACAGCAGGGCACAAGCAATCCAGGAGCCTTCTTGAGGTGCAGTGATGACAGCTTCCTGCCACAGCTGATAGAGGAGCTGACAAGGAGACATGCTCTGCTGGACCTGATACTTATAACCAAGGAAGAACTGGTCAGGAATATGAAGCCTGGGGGCAGCCTTGGCTGCAGTGACCATGAAATGGTAGAGTTCAGGATCCTAAAAGAAACAAGACATATAGCAGGCTTAGAACCCCAGACTTCAGGAGAGCAGACTTTAGCCTGTTCAGGGACCTGCTTAGAAGAATCCCATGGGATATGGTCCTGAAGAGAAGAAGGGTCCAGGACAGCATGCTGATTTTCAAGCATTACCTCCTCCAGACTCAAGAATGGTCCATCCCAAGTAACAGGAATTGAAGCAAGAGTGGTAGGAGGCCTGTGTAGATGAACAAGGAGCTCCTGACAAAACTCATACATGAAAAAGAAGCATATGGAAGGCAACAGCAAGAACAGATTATGCAGGAAGAATATAGAGACACTTCAAGCATGCAGGGACAGGGTTAGGAAAGCCAAAGTCTACCTGGGGCTGAATCTGGAGAAGGACATGAATGGCAACAAGGGCTTCTACAGGTATATCAGAAGCAAGAGGAAGACTATAGAAAATGTGGGCCCTCCACTGAAAAGGTGACAAAGGACACTGTGAAAGATGAGCTTTGCCTCAGTCTTTACTGGTAAGATCAGCCTTCAGCAATCCCAGCCCCTGAGACCAGTGGGAAAGTCTGGAGCGAGGAAAACTTAAATCAATGGAAAAGGATCAGGTAAGGGAACATTTAAACAGATTGGACATAAGTCCGTGGAACCTGATAGGACACACCCAAGAGGGCTGAGGGAGCTGGCCAGTGTCACTGTGAGGCCACTCTCAATTATCTTTGAACGGTCATGACAACTGGGGAGGTTCCTAAGGACTGGAAGAAAGGCAATGTCACTCCCACTTTCAAGACGGGTAAAAAGAAGGACCTAGGGAACTACAGGCTGGTCAGTCTCACCTTGACCCAGATCCGGGAAGGTGATGGAACAAGTAACCTTGGAAATCATTTTCAAACATGTAAGGACAAGAAGGTGATTGAGAATAGTCAGCATGGATTTATGAAGGAAAAAATCATGCCTCATCGACTTGATAGCCTTTTATGGTAAGATGACTGGTTTGGTGGAAAAGGGAACATCAGTGGTATTCTTTATCTTGTATTTTTCAAGGCTTTGTAAGGCTTTGTCTCCCATAGCATCCTCAAAGACGAGCTGATGAAGTATAGGTTGGCTAAACGGACAGTGAGGTGGCCAGAAAACTGGCTAAACTGCCAGGCTCAAAGGGTTGTGATTAGCAGCATGAAGTCCATCTGGAGGTCAGTCATTACTGGAGTACCCCAAATGTTGATACCTTGGGCCAATATAATCTAATATATTCATTAATGACTCAAATGATAGAACAGAGTGCACCTTCAGCAAGCTTGCAGATGATACAAAATTGAAGAGAGTGGTTGATGCACCAGATGGTTATGCTGTCATTCAGAAGTACCTTGACAAGCTGGAGATAGGAGCAGACAGGAACCTCATGAAGTTCTACACAAAGTCCTGCACCTGAGAGAAATAGCCCCATGCAACAGTAAATGCTGGGGATTCAATCATCTGGAAAGTGGCTGTGCAGAAAAAGACCAATAGGTCCTGGTGGACAAAAAATGTGAACATAAGCCAGCAATGTGTCCTTCTGGCAAAGGTGGCCAGCAGCATCCTAGACTGCGTTACACAGCAGGCTGGGGGAGGTGATTCTTCCCCTCTCCTCAGCACTAGTGAGGCACATGTGGAGTGCTGGGTCCAGTTCTGGGCTCCCCAGTGCAAGAAAGACATGAGCATCCTGGAGAGGATCTAGCAAGGGGCCACAAAGATGATTAACAAATTGGAGCACCTGACATATGAGGAGTGGCTGAGAAAGCTGGGATCGTTCAGCCTGGAGAGGGCTGGGAAATCGTATCAATGGATATAAATACCTGATGCGGCAGGGAGTAAACAGGCAATGCGCACAAACTGAAAAACAAGAAATTCTGTTTAAACATAAGGAAAAAAAAATTACTCCAAGCATGATCAAACACTGGAATAGGTTGCCCACAGGGGTTGTGGAGTTTTCATCCTTGGAGATATTCATAACCTGACTGGACATGACTTTGGGCAACCTGCTCTAGGTGACCCTTCTTGAGCAGGGGGGTTTCTCTATGATCTCCAGAAGTCCTTTCAAGCCTCAACCATTCTGTGATTCCATAATGGTCCCTTATGTCATTATTGACATAGAAGGTATCTTTTCTGCTAATTAATTTATGTGTTCTGGCACCATCAGCCTCATTTACAAATTAAGAAGCAATTTTAATCAGTCTTAAACAGAAAACCCACCAAAACAAATCAGAACAAACAAAAACTACAGCTGCATGCAAAAGGCACAAACCAAATCAGTTCAGAGGCTTGGTTTTGGCCAAACTGTTTCAATAAAATGAGAATATAATATCAAAACATTTCTATCCAAGGTTTTAAAAACATGCACCCCTTCTTCCTGTTCTAAAAGACATAGTAATACAAAACAGCCCCCTGCTAACCCCAAACAGTTCGGGTCCTGATTGGGATATGCACTTTCCACATTCAAGTGTGTTAAGCTTCAAGTAGATTGGTTAATATTTGGAAGCGCCACACAAGTTTGTAATGTCAATCTAGATGTGGAGAGGTCTTAAGATCTCCAGTTCCTTTCTCATTTCTGTATACATGCCCAGACTCTTCCAGGTACTATGAGCATGTACAGAACAACAGAAGTTCAGTCCTGCCTCTCTTTGTCATGGTGAAATAAATGATGCAGGTGTATTTGACTAACTGAACAGGGCTCAACTCTAAATCAGTTATCCAGATGATGGCAAGTGTTAGTCTGAAATACTACCAGAGGTCACAATCCAAGTGTCACCATCACTCAGTCTGAAGGTTTTTAAACAGTAGATTGAGCATTTCTGATTCTGCTTCAACAAGGAATTTACATTGCACTGAATCATGAGAACCATCTAACACAGAAGTAAACCTGAGGGAGGATAAGATAGGATCTTG